TTTTCGTAATCTATCGATAAATTGATAATTGATTAACGTTAATATCGAATCGATATTCCGCTTAATATTATTTATACATAATTATTAATTATAAAAAACAATATCCATCCATTAAATATATTTCAAATAAAATTTTTCACAATCATAAATACTTTTAGCGAACGGAATCTTCCCATTGCAGCTATTTTTTCAGAAAAAATCACGAGTGAAATATTTATTATACCCGGATCCAAAAGAGAGAGAGAGAGAGAGAAAAAAAGTCCAATTTTATTTCGAACTTCCATTTTCCGGATCGCAGCAAACATATTTATTTTTCTATCCTTTTTCATTCCATTTCCTTGTTTCTGCCCACCCTCCTTCCTTCTCGTCTTATTTTCACACACGTGGGTATATACGCTGTTCTCCAATTAAAATTATTCGTTACTCAAATATCATTCCCACGTTGAATCGCGTTTTCCACTTTGGAACAGCTTGTTTCGTTTTCCTTTTATCCATAGCGCCAGTCCAATCGTAAAAGTTTGATGTTTACTCTTCCAGCATTCCTCCTTTTTCTCATTCCACCTTTCGCATACGTGCTCCACTTTTTAAACAGATAGATTATTAATCAGAGATACGATCCCGCTATTCGTTACTTGATAGATTATTCGGTAGAGATTAACTTTGTTTCTCAATCAGTGGCAATTAGGAATTAATGCACGATAGAACGATCGATTTTCCGATATATTTTTATATTCATCTTGAGAGAAAGAAAATTTTGTGATATTATAAGCTCAGAAATAAGAAAGAAACGAATCGAATGCTGGTTTTCCATGTATCTTATAATTAATTTAATTATAATTATTCTACGTCCACGAGTTTCTATATATACATTTTGTAATAACATCTATCATAATAATAACTCAATTGCACCATATAATTGTACCCTATTACTTGCACATTTTCTTCTTGCCTACTTTACACTTGATTCGCTCACTTCAGACAAACTACGCAGACAACTCTAGGACACGTTCAGACGGGTCCACTCAAAATCTTGAGTGACCATACCTTTCACGCCTTCAAAAGGCGAACTCGTTCCAGACGGAGGGTCAACTCATTCCTGCAGAAATATTCATCCCTTCCTTCGTACAACTACTTTCTTTAATTACATCCATCCATTCTGTCACTTTTTAATTGACAAACATTAGCTTACGAAGTTAAAGTTTGTGAGTGTAACAATGTATTACACATTCTAAATGATATAATTTCAGAAATAATTTTTATAACAGAATAATGGAACCTTTGTACAATATTTTATAATATTACATTTTAAAACGTATAAAAACCTGTTAGTCGAATTCACTCGAAACTTTAAAGTAAAAGAAAATCCAGTGAAATCGTTGTTGAAGAAAAATACAGGATATATCTGTACAGAGTGAAAGGTGAGCTGCAGGTATCGAGATATCAATCGTGATTTTCAAGGGGAATTCTTTCGACCATTATATTTTCGCGTGCATTGAGCGCATACGTTGGACGCGCGCCGCAATACCGATCCTTCATCGTGCCGTCATGCTTGAATTATTTAATTGGACTCTGGCATTTTACTACGCCTGTAAACCGGCACACTAGAAACACGAGGGAGAGCCGTTTCGGAAATTCACGATTCGTTACGCTTCCTTCGTGCTTTCGCTTCTGCAAAAATGCAACGAAGTCTACGGCTCGAATCTCGAAGCAGATCGAACCGGGGAGAGATTTTTATCCTAGTGTCCCGTATTTTAAATGAATTTCAATACATCGAAACTTCTTATTCCAACTCCGATTTAATCCTTTTTCTCGATATATCCACTATATACAGTTAAAAAAACTTATTTTCTTCAAAAACGATCACGACAATTATTCGTATAACTTGCATCTCACCGTTTGATCGATCAAATAAGTTTCCTCGATCAAAAAATAACATTCGAATCGAGGAAAGAGGGTGGTAACGAAGATGAACGCGGGTAATATTTGGTCAGAAAAACGGATTTCTTCCTAACATGGAAACAGAAGGGTGGAAAAGAAACGAGGTGATGGCCTGGTTCGCGGCGGGAAGAACGCGGGATCGGTTCATCGAGGCGGCGACTTCAAAAGGATTCGCGCGAACGGGGAAGTGGAATTTTCATTATCGGAATACCAGTCACTGTCAGTAAACCTTTTACCGCTTTGATAAGCGTGGCCGAGCCACGGTGAAAGAGGACACTGGATGTAAAAAAGGAAGAGGGGGAGGAAAAAAGAAAAGAAAAAGGAACGATCCGATGGATAAAGCTCGTCTTGCTTTTCGTTCTGACTAACTTTGAAGAGAAGCGAAGAATTCGTATTCTTGATTCGACGGCAACTGTGTTCGTCTTTCGTCCAAGGATGATCGAAAGGGATGGTCGCGCGAATCGAACGAAGATCGAATGCGTGGGACGCGATGGAGGAAACCTAGTTGTGTTGAAAAGAGGAATTTGGTGGTGGCGATATATCGAAGAGATCTTTTTTAAAAATATATTTGTCAATCTTGCTACCTTCATCTGAGATTATCTTTAATCTTCTAATTTCTATTTTCTCGATTCAACGGATTGCAAGTTATACTTTGTACTGTGTTTATATTATAATTACACGGATTTCAAAATAATTATACTTATCGAAATGATGAAACTGTTGTTCTAGTGTATAGTTTCTAACTAAAGCTTTATTAATCGTGTAATATTTCCTACATCGTCTCCAAAGTTGCGTTTGAATTACATAACGAACAGTTTAATACATTTTATATAGTACAATATAAAATATGTGTACTGTACGATCTTACGATTGAAAAATTGTTAGAACACTTTATTTTCGAATATGTTTCGTGAAAATAAAATACGTATGATATTTACTCAGTTGTCTCTCACGAAAAATAATCTACAGACGTATTATTGTCTCTGTACCCGAACAACCATAAATCAATCGCGAAATCGCGATATATCAAAATACACGATTACGAATGTGTATATGCACGTACACGGGAAATGATCCTTCTTCTGAACGATTCAGTCCACGCCAAGATTAAGAACCGCGGTCGGTTTCGAGCGATTTCGGTTTAATGCAAATAAAAGTGGGCAGCCGCAAGCCACGAGGAAGTTGGCCGTGGCCCTCTTGGGGAAAGGAAGATCGTAAAAGGGAGAAAGGATGATGCGAGTCGATACTCGTGGTAGCCTCTGACGGGGAAATTGAAAACGTTGTATGCGCTGTTGCTCGAGGAAATGTAGGACAAGCCGTAAATTTGGCCGGATGTTAAGCATGTGTTCCATGCCTCGGGAGAGGAACAACTTAAAGGATGTATCGAAATAATGACTCGAGGATTAAGAGACTAGGTAGAAGGGATTGTAAATCTTCTTTGTTTTTCCTCTCTGTTTTGCTATAGTTTTGTTAGTTTTGTTACGAGATGTAACGAAATGCATATTGAAAAAAATTTTGTGGGAATGTTTTTTATTATCGTTTTTTTTTTGTTTTGTCTTTTATCAAGAGATTCAATGGAATACTAGCATGGTTATTTTGTAACAGAGACATGAACGCAATGAATTCTAGTTTCACAAATAAAAATTCGTTGCAAATATCAATAACGTTTTTTTTTTTTCGGTCGTTTGCACCTGAAAGGAATATATTCGAATTTTAAATAATTTTTTTGTCTGAATTTATTCGGTCTATCATATTGATTAATATTAATGCGCAATTTCGCAATTGCGATTAAAAGGAACGAGACTTTATTGTTATGGAAACTATGCCTATATATAACTTTGCAGAAAGAAATTTTCTTTGATTTGAAATTGACATAAATGGCAATTGAGATAAATTTTTAATTGACAGGCAATAATTCGTCAATTTTAATTTTTAAATTCGTTCACGTGATTTCAATTACAGTCTTTTCTTCTTTAATATCTGGAATGCCATATTTCGAAAAAATAAAACATATTTTTATTCATATATAGGTGGATCTAGATCGTTAATGAAGCTTCCTCCAAATGAGCAATCCTCCAAATTATACGAATTAGTTTAAAATTGTAATGCTGGATTGCAATCCTCCAAATTAATCTGTACCCGAATAAGATGCATAAAGACGCGAGCTTAATTTTAACTTTTACTCGAAAGATATACTTCCGAACTAATTACGAGTCACGCCCAAATCACGAGGAAACAGCAGTTAATTTAAAACTTTCTCGTATGTACGCTACACGTAGAAAATCTTGATCTTCTTAATCTATTTTTTATAATCAAAGTAAAAATTCTGTTAATTTTGCGTTAACAAGATGAAAATCTTATTTCAATATTTATCACTTTAATATTCTTATTATTGTTCTAATTTTAGATAAACGAATTAATAATAGTTATTTATATAAGAATGAAAATTAATCAATCCTATTCACGAACGTGATGATTCTAAATAAACAACGATATAATTTTTAGGAATGAATACAATTTCCATTTAAATAAATCAGTCAATATATTTATCAATGCATTTTTATATGCTGCTTTTCATAGAATAAAAAGAAAAATATTTCTAAGCAAAAAACCAAGTATAGTAACGTGTGATCCTATAGGCATTTCATTATTTTACGTATGTCGATGATATTGACAATTTCTCGATATCGCTTTGTTCCTTTAACAAGCAAACGTGACAAATTTTCAAATAACGATATCTATTTCTAACTATCTATGTATTCTCATCACTTTTTGTTATTGATAACAATAAACACTCCTAATTTAATATTAATATACCTTTCGCATTGAATTTGATTTCTAAATTTCGAGACACGCGAATTAAACTCACAATCAAAAAGGTGTATACACCCTCACCGAAGAATTATCTTCATTTGGTCTTCGTGCAAGCATATTGAAAAGAGAAAACTTAAAAATTTTCATCTGCTTGAAAAAAAATCTTCTTACCTTAAAATAATAGAATTCGTAGCAAGAAAAATCACATCTACGAAATCGTCCAACGTAAATTCTCTCGGGATACTCACCAAAGGGCCAACTGGTAATGTAGAATCGCACGGTTCGGTTGCGATGTGTCTCGCAGAAAGTTGGCAAAGTTGTAATGCATCTTAGCGTTGTGGGGAAGAGACCGCAGACCAGCCCTGCAACCAAGTGATTCGAGATCAAACAAGAGAATGATAAAGTTATCAAAATATTATGATAGGGGAAAAGAATGCAAAGACAGGATGAACTGTGCCTACTTGATTGATGGATTCGATGCATTAATTAAAGTCGATACTGAATTATTATAAATTCTTCGTTCAAATGTTGATATAATAAATTTTCTTCCAAACAATCGTCATTTTCAATGATTCTTTTCCACGCTAAATATCTTTTATTACAAAATGTAACCCGTGAAACATCCATTACCGTGGTAAAAAAACTTCATATTCTAACATTTTTACAACCCCCCCAGATAATTTCTTTTTTGCGGTAATAAACTACTGTAGCGTTTCATAAAATGTGGAAATTTCTTTCTTTTTTCTTTTTTTTTTTTTTATTTTTCAAAAAAATTCCGCGCGAAAGCGTTTTCTCGGCGAATTTTAAAATATTCATAAATTCTTCGGATGGCTCCGCGAATAATAATGTACTCGGAACATTTTCCCTTTCGATTGAAATTGTTGGAAGTCAAGGTGAAATACAATTCGTTGTCGATTAATAAAGTATAAAAAAGAAATAAGATATAATAAAGAAATCGAATTATTGAGTTATCAACGAACATTCAAACGAATTTATTTTCTTCTCTATTGTTGACGCCATCGTTATCAGTCGGATGTTATGACAGCTTTTAGATACGATGAAAAATAATCACGTCTTGTTTCGATTTAAAATTTGTGCGTGATTATTCAAGATTATCCTTAGAAAAAGAAACGCCAATGTAAAAGGAATATTTGTAAATATCGTTCGCTCAGATGTATCATTAGACTGCAAATATTTATGCAAAATTTGAATGTACAAAAATACAGAATGCACATGACAAAATATTATGTATTTGAGGAATAAAATAAATCTTTATTTAAGCTTCATCGTAACCCATAAAAATTTGATTTTGTATAAAAATTTCCAATCTTTCCAATTTTTTATACGCTAGTTTCTTAAGAAGATCGATTGACAAACCTGATCAGACTCTCTCTAGACATCCAATCTCTGTTTCTCAACACCGTTTTATAGCATCCTAGGAGTAGAAGAAGAACGATTCCCATCGTGATCAAACTTCTTCTACGTGGAATAGCCGTCCAGCTGATTTGCATCCCATACACGACCAGCAGGATCCACCCGACACTGTAAATATTTCATTTCTATGTTAATTCATCTGTATCTTTACAAGATACATCGTACTTTTGAATGAAAGATTCAAGAAATCGTATCCATATTAATAGAATATGGATTAAATTACATATAAATCCCATATATACCAATAATTATATATAAAAACAATCACACTACTTTAAAAATATCACTCTTAATATATTTCTCTTAATTTATTTAAACGTCGTATCGTGCTATCGACATAATCTCGCAATACATTCTCTCGTATTAAAATTATAAATATTCGATCAAAGAATTTTCAATCAAAAAGACTTATTATTCGATATCAAATTTCAAAAAGAAAAAGTAAATCTAAATATTCGCAAACATCCGTTCCACAATCTATTACAATTTTACCGAAATTCAATTGTTCTTTTCTTTCGTGTAAAAATACGTCACAACGTTCCAGATTACGACGTATGAGGAGAAATTGTTAATTACCTGGGCATGTAGAGTACACGTTCCGCGACGACGAATCCAACGGTAATAAAAAGATTGGATGCGGGCAGGAACGGTAGTACCAGGAACATCCAACCAAGAAGAAGAGGCGGATGCCTCTGTTGCTGAAAATGAAACGCAAGTTGCTAGGTTAGACGCGGTGAAAAGCGTTCTGCCTTGAAACGAAATTGCGTTCCCGTGGAATGTTGTGTCAGCCAGTGTAACCGCGTATTAAATAAACTTTCCACGAGCAAAGCACGTAATATCCGCGTATACATCGACGACTGAAATCGTGTACACAGACGCGTCAATAACATTTCGAGTATTTATCTTAAGCGTTTCGAGGAATATAACACATTGTACGACGTAAGAGAAATAAACTTATACGTTATTTATGAATTGTTTATTTCGTACGATGTTTGATATTCTGGAGTTCATATTACGCATCTTGAATCATCCTTAATATATTGTACATAATATATTGTACAATATAATGAGAAATGAGAAAATTCGTTTGATAGTTTTCAAAATTCTTAAAAATGTATGATTCTTCTCGATGATTCTTTTTTTTCCTTTTTAAGATTTAGGAACAATCATATTTTCCAATTTTTCTAATAGGTGACCTGTCCAATTTTTAATATTTCCTTGTAAAATAATTGTATTCTCTCAAGTTTCTACTTTTTTAATTTCGATGTATTAAAGCATTTCCTTCCACTTGATAATGCAAAAAAAAATTCAAATTTCGAAAACTTATCAACAATGTAGAAACATGTTGCTTAATATCTAATAGGAACTGCAAATTGATTTGCATTGAAACGATATTAATAAAGAACAAAAATAAACGAGATGAAAATAGTTCAATAAACGTTGACGTAATTGTCGTTGAACGCAATATTAATTACTCTCATATGATCAATTTCACAGGAAATGTAGATATATGTATGTATATATAATTTGCAAAATTAAAAAATTAACAAAGGCAAAATTATCCATTTAATTAATTTCGTAGATTGAGAATTTACCATTTAAGAATAAAACTTCAACAAAGAAAAATTACTGCAAAATATTCGATGATGAATGGGAGCAAATTATTTCGCTTTCAATCTTAACATTTGCTTCTCTCATTTATCGCTTTAGATTAAAAAAGAAAGAAACAATTTCTTGAAAGAACTAATTCGAAAGCTTCTTGACGATTCTCACACTCTGCGAACAAATTTTCCTTTTCGCAGCAAAATTTTAACCGAACAAAGCATAGTTAACCCGCGAAACGTAATAACGAATCTTTCGACAACAGAAATTCTATTTTCTTGGCGGATACAAGGAAGGGATACGCTTCAAGATGGAAGCTACACTTCGTTAGATCGTTCCATAATTCATCCTTAATTTCCTTCGTTCAAAGAATAATAACAGAAACGAAGAATAACAGAAAAACAGAAGATGAGAAGATGTTACGAAACCTGCAACAATACAAAGAAAAGACAAAGAAAAAACTCGTCGACGGATCGACCAATCAAGGAATCGAAGTACACGAAACGCAATATCGGAGGAGGAGGAGTTCGACGATCGCGATCTCGAGAGGATGGAACAATAACGGACAAACAATAACTTGTAGAAAAATTAATTTCGAATAACAATCGGAGCTAAACGATCCACCATCCGTTTCTGGAACAACATTCCCCTGTATTCCACCGTGTTCCAGACTGTTTGTACAATTGTACGATCGGCCGGTGTATATAATCCACGTATCGCAAATCGAAACGAGTAATAGCATTCCAAGTTCTCGAAGAGAGATGAGGACGCCCGTCATCCTTTTATCCTCGCTCCTTTTCCACTGGGCGGCCGCCTCGCACGGGATTCGAAGCGAAACCCAGCAGGGAAGAGGCGTGAGAGAGGGACGGTTGGAGTGGTTGAACACAGCCGAGGAGGAGAGCAACGTCTCGAACGTTGGGGGAGAGGAGACTTCTTTGGGGGATGGACGACAGAAATCACGCCCGGCCAGGGCTGGATTAACCCGGCGGGAAATAGGATCAGTGGAGGAGGCTTGGAGAGGAACTGATTGGGGAGGGTCCTCGCTTCCTCGCTTCGCGGATAGACAGGTATGTTTGGACACGATGCGGATGATCAAAAGGCTCGCCTCCTCCCACGTTCGACAGCCAGGCACTTGATTTTCTTCCGGTTTGTCGGATACGTCGGAGGATACATCTTTGAAGCGATCGTTAAATGAACAGACTCGTGTTTTTTTCTTTTTTAAATCTCGTATAATGCTGGATAAAAGTCTTTGGACTATTATTTTGCGGGCAAATTTATTCGATATAAAAATTGCAAAAATTATCGTAACCGGCTGTACAGAGTGTTATTTATGAGACACGTATATTTTGAAAAATCGATTTTTGGGATTAACAGAAGTTTTAAGTTTAAGTATCTTTTTATCTTACATCTCTTAAAGATGTGCCATGAACAATTGAATATTTAATTCGTTCTAATTCAATCAACAATCGTAATAATTATTGTTTATAAAAATATCGAGATTTCGCTTAAAATAAGATTTGCAATGGAAAATTTGATTTATTTGATATACAACAACATTACATTATCCTTATAAAAAAAAAAACATTTAATATACACACACAAGCATATATATTCATTGAACCGAATTCAAAATCACAAAACTAAACTTAAAATACACATAGAACTTTATTTAAACACAGGAATTGGATAGAAAAAAAAGAGACACGCCGCCTGTAATCTCTTTGCTGGGATCGAATCTCGAAGAAACGGAGTTAAAACATGGAGATCGGAATCGGAGGTCATTGATCTCAGATCCTCAGAACGATGAGGCGATTCGAAAGATTCTCGTGAACGCGAAGGAAAAATTGAGCGACGTAAAATCGAAAAGCACGATCGACGACGATTGGATCTTTTTCGTATTGCCGTCGAGATCAGGAACGCTGACGGAATCGTTATTCAGGCCGGCCAGCAATGGCCCCAAAATTGGGGGGCAAAGTTGGCGACAGAATGAGAAATGGTTGGACGACAAGGAGTTTCTAAACGCGAATAATAATAAATTCGACTACAACGAGGACGTTGTTGAAGCGAAGGGCGATCCTAAAAAATACGACGAACCCCCGCTTTCGGATTGGAATATCGACGAGAAAACTGGTGGGACGAATTTTGCATTGACGAAAGGGGGGAGGAATAAGCAGAGGTCGAGCAAAAAAAATGACGAAGATTATCGCGGCATAAAAGTCAACGTTGACGCGAAGAATGGGGAGACATATGGCGATATTTCGATCGATAACACAGTGAGTGATAAACCGTCGGCTGCAGAAATATCTGTGAAAATACCCGAGGCGCGATACAATAAAGCGACGATCCGAAATAACCGACCTTCGAACGATAAATCGCGTCTCGTTTCGGATCCGTTTGTTTTTCTCGCGGAATTGGAAGGCGGAGCAGCAAGACGCGGGGATAAAGGATCGTCCCGTGAATCAAATCCCGTGATGAGGGCGCGTCAAAATTCGGCTGACGGGAAGTTAATCGAGAGCAAAGTGGAGGAGAGGCGTGTTGGGAAGCGTGCCGAATTCTCGAGCGATGAATCACGTTTGAATAAAGAGAACGGCGGCAGAATGAAAATGGACGACGAGTTGTTGCGGATCGAGGAGGCGAGGTTGAAGCGGGGGGAGAGAAATTATGGAGAATTACAAGTGTCGCGATTGTTGGAGGAATTGTCGAATATGAGGAACCAGATGGGGAGGAATCAGAATCTGTATGAAAGGAATGAAAGGAATCTCGGCTCGAATCCCTCGCGTGTCGAGAGAATAGACGCGAGGGATGGTATCCGGGTGAAGTATGATAAACAGAAGAGCGCAGCTGAAACATCGATTCCTCTAGACGTGAACGAACGTGGCGGCGTGAAACGTCGGGAGCGCGTTGAAGAGAGATCGACGGTCAAAAACGGAAAGGTGGATGGCGAGTGGAAAAGGGAGAAGGAAGGCGATGAGCCGCGGAAAGAGGCAGTGAAGGGACGTGACGATTACGATTCTGATGAAAATGTTAAAGTCAAATGGACGTCTTTGAAGGGAGAGCGAGAAGCGATAGCTGACGTTGATAAAGAGAGATTGGATAAATTGGGGAAAAAGACGGTTGAAGGAGGGAATTCAGAAATAAGGGGATCGCAGCAGGTCGATATAAATAATAAGACAAATTTGAGAAAAGTTAAATCTGATGTGGAAAATTTAAAGGAAAAAGATAATCAGAAAAGAGAGAAACAGGATTCTAAGGTGGAGTATGAGGTGAAGAATCTAAAAGTGGATAACGAAGACAGACGAAAAGATGAGTTAGAAAATGTAAAGGGAGAGAAGTCTATAAAAACTGAGAATAGAAATGAATATGAGGTACCTGGCATAGGGCAATTGAAGGTTAAAAATGAAAATTCTCGAGGAAAATTGAGAGAGAAATTTGATAAAGAAAATTTGAAAAAAATAATTTTTGGAGTGAAAATTCCAAAAATTAAGGGAATTGAAGATTTCAATATCAATAGTGAAGATTTTAGATTAGAGAATTTGAATTGGATAGAATATAAAGGAGAAAATTTGGATACAGAAGATAACGAAGGAAATTTGAGAAGAGAAAATGAAATCGAGAAGAATATTGATAACAATTTAAACAGAAAAAATTATGAAAAGAGAAATAAATTTAAGATAAATGATGAGCGAGGACAAAATATTGAAATTGATAATATAAATAAACATATACTTGGAATTAAAAATATAGAGGAAGAGAAATCTAAAATAGAAGATAACAACGAAAAGCGATATAATACAATATTAAAGACAAAGAAAGCAAATATAAAACTTCAAAATCTTCCGGAAGAAACATTTGATAACAAGAAAAAAGAAAATGATGGAAAAAATTTAAACAGAAAAGACATTAAAGAAAACAATAAAGACAAGAAATACATTGAAGTCAATAAAACAAAGAGACATGAATTTGAATCAGACGATATAAAGAAAAAAGAAATTAATAAGGAGGACAAAAATAATCAGCAAAATATTATATCAGATGTAAAAAAGAATATTAAAACTAATAATTTGAAAAAACAAAAGGTCGATGAGAAAAATTTAAA